CACACATCATCAAATTGTTCACTCCATGGACAGGATGTGGTGTCCGGTAAGGCACTGAAGCGGCCACGTGTGGGCCCGAATTGATGAACACGTAGACACAAAGGCGCAAGTGCTTGACGGACGTCTGTAGACGGATTCGTCTTGTTACTACCTGCAGTCAACTGACGTATGCTCGCCTGAAGGTTAACTACCCACAGAAGAATATATCCATCAAAGTTGATTGTCAATACTGTAATTAGGCAACATTTACATATGGGTTCAACTTGTTGGTAAATTTCGTTCCACGCAGCAGCGCTGTGGTTGGAGCTCGCGCAGTCAGACACCGCCCCCTAGGTTGGCGAGTTTTTTAAATTATATTCTCGCTTTGACCTCTCGGACCGCGCCTGCTGCTAAGTTGACGCTACCACCGCGTCTTGAGTTTGGCTAATTGCTCAGCTCGGCAATTTAACTGCCGTTTTACTGCTCGGTGTGATCACCTGGGTTACGGCGACCAGCTTTCGCGCACTTGTTTGATTAAAGTGAATGCACCTGTGGCGATCGCTTTAACTGAGGCGTTTATAAATGTCCAAGGAAGTGTAATCCAGTTAAACCTAATTTTACTAATTTTCGAAAGTGCACTCACCGTGTCTTCGTGTGTTTGCAGTTATTTGCAGTGATCAAAGTTCAATTGTGCTGCTGATAAGTTTGTTTTTTGTGCCAAACCTCGGACCTCACGAATAACTCCTAACATGTCGCCAAAATCGTGCAATTCGCAACACTATTCTTCTTATTTTTGCCAAATTTACAAAAAAGTGTGTTGATCATTTTCCTGGTAGAAGACAATTCTATCTGACTCTCAGTGTGTCCATTTGTTTTAATTTGTGATTTCGGTGTGACCTCCACAAGATGGTCCAATCAGGACCAGCCCGTTCAATTTAAACTAGGAATCTGTTTGATCTACTGTGTAATCTACTTAATCAATATTGGTAAAGCCAACTCGAGTCACTGGATTTCGGAATATCGACCGAAACCAGATGATTTGCCCACACAAATTGTCTACTGGCCAACCAGTTAATTGGAAGAGGATATTTCACTTCAAGATATTGTAGAATATTGCAGGGAGAAAAATGAATTAACAATCTGCGTGCGGTGGAAAACTGATCATATAAGGAGTCCATTAAGAGTCATGGTCGATAAAATGATTGAATATTTGTGTGAATGCAAAGTCAAATCTACCCTGTACACGCTGTTTTGTGTGTGTGTGTGTGCGTATCTCTGTGTGTGAAATGCACTGGCGTAGAATTACGCGCTAATTTGGAATGTCATGAGCCCAGGTCGATTTCACCAATCAAAGCCTTCTGCAGAACATCATCCGCATCTGCTCCTTCACGGGGAGGGCTTTCAGGCGTGACACCGAGACGCCGATGTTGGCAGCCAGCTGTGCCGAGTCGACGCCGTAGAGCTCGTACAACGAGACCACAGTGAGTTTTTCCATGGTCCGGGGATGAATGAGTGCCCGGCACGAGGGGTTGCAGAGGGGTGTTATGTGCGACCGCCCCATGCACGCGGCCGCCAACTTCTCCCGCGATCGCACGTCGCCGAAGTCGTCTGGACCCGCATCCAGTGAGCATCGGTCGATGGCGCGGAATACAAACGCCGGTGGGTGCGAGAGATCGCGTTGAGTGCGTTGGGTGACGTAGTGTCGGCCACCGCGCATTGCTGTCGTGTCTGTCTTGGGACGGTTCAGTACTGCGACGAGTTTGGACAGAAAAATCATCGAGGAGTTCGAATTCTGCTGCGGTCGCTGGCTCCGACTGTCCTGTCTACTATGTGATGCTGGCGGTTGACGGAGATTTAAATACCACTGGGGGTACCTACGCCAGCTAATACAGAGAAGAGGGCGTTTATAGCCATTGCAAGTACCTTGTTCCATATGGGTTGAATCAATTAGTAAACGGATGTAACCCTCAACCTTCCCTGGTGTCTTCTTCATCGAGCGTCTTCCATAATCGATGCCTTACCATGACCACCCAGTGTTTCAACACTGGAAGAAAGCCAAAAAACTAAGCAGAAATTCGTTGTTTATAGACAGGAACCACAATCGATTTAATTAAAGCAGAATTATAGCAAGATCATGGAATTAAACGTACCGTGTAAGGTGAGCGTCCCAGGCATTAAGAGTGTCTTGAAGACTCTGTGAGTTGACCATAAGCTGAGCCCAGTGACTAAAAAGCAAGAAAACCAACATTTGAGTACCGAGGTTGAAGTCAGCTGATTGCTTAGTCATCCTCGTTGTTCGTGGAATAGACACGAAAAACATTGGAACTGAATTGTAAAAGGGGCAGGTAAATTGTCCCGCTCAGAAATTAGTCGTCAACGCCGAAAATTCACGACTACCTACTCTTGGGGGCTCCACTGAATAAAATGCTTCCCACCCAACGAGACCGCTTTACTTTAAACTGTGCAACACGTCAGTACATCGTCTCTCAGACGGAAATACTTCTTCCACGTTGGAGGAATCCCAGATGCAACAGTGCTCAGGTGACAGTGGAAGTGAACTGTCGTGATCAAGTTTGCCGAGACCACAATTACACCTACGCAGCAAAAAACGGTGTAAAAGTGCGCCGTGGTTACAACGTAAGCAGACCAGACACGTCGACGCGTGCACACTCTTGTGACCTTGATGGGAGACGAAGAGTGCCGTTTAAATGAAGCACCAATTAGCTTTGATTCGATTTGCTCATGTGGCGCCAGGTAGATGCAACAAAACGTGGATGCGTCTTTAGACTGGCAAGCTACAAGATTTCGGTAAACGAAGATTCACAAAACTGGTTTCACTGGTTCGTGAGTTGCTATTTTTTCTTGTGCGTAACTGTGGGTATCAAGTTTGTTGAGGATTATGGCCAATTAAATCAAGGCAAATGCGCTCGGGCTATCGATCGATTACCACGCCAAATAAATCCAGGTTCAGTTGGCCCGCGTTCATGAGCGATGTGCAGAATTGAGATTATTGATTTGTGTTGGATTGAACAGGTTTTTTTGCACGCTGATTGGTCGCCTGTCTCGAGTACTCTGTAAACATGCCACGCGCACGAACACGACGATAAATCTTGAATAAACTTTCGAATTGAGGTCGGCAGAGTACTCACCTCTACCACTCTAGTTGAAATACTGCAGACTCGAGTGCTGAAAGGAGTTTAAGCAGTGCCGAAATAGGTGCCTACGTCTGTTTAGACACAAGGATGTCCCCTGCGTTACCGTGATGTCTGTTGAACGCAGTAGCCTTGTGTTTACAACCTATGACCTTTGGATGCACAACATCGTTAGATTTTTCTCTGGCTGCGGAAATTTATCGTCATACGTCAGGGGTCCTAGGAGATTGGGGTAAATATTCCCATCTCGTCCTGTTCCCAGGCATTATGTTCCGCCTTTATCCAAGAAGGCCATTTAGGTTTCCGCAAGTTGGGTGTTTAGTGAAGGTCACTACCAGCTAATTTTGGGAGCAAACTGCGTGAAAATACCTTTGCCGCTGTTAGATTAGGGCTTGTTTTAATGCGGTGCCCACAAATTTACATTTTCGATGCCGTTTAATTTAGTTTGCTTAGAAGAACCAAATTTTTGGCATTGGTCTTGCGAATACCACTATTAGTGTTAGTCAAGTTCCTCACTGACCAATTGAATTTGACGGCTACAAAATCAAGGTCACGATTCGATTGGGTCGTGCTCAGACGACCGTGCGGATAACAGCTTATGGTCAAATGTTCTTGACAAATTCAAGGTTCATTGCTTGGGTTCCGCGTAAAGTTGGATGGAATTCACTTATCACTTATTTGCGATGTACATCTCAAGAGCTAAGACACCATAACGTTTTCTAAAAGATTTAACAATAACGCCAATCGAAACTAGTTGTGTTGCCGATTCGTGATGAACCGTCAAAAACCCAATTATATTGGGTTAAATGAAACTTATTGATTAAAAATTGACTCCAGACAATGAAAATGGGTTGGTGGGTGTGGTGTTTATGTTAAATAAAAAGAATTTAGTTTTCGCAAGATTTTTTAAATCTGCCATTAGATTGACACCTACGTCCAGAGATTTGTAGAAATGATTGTGAGTTGCATACCACTGAACCAACTTGAAAATTGCGCTATGCACTCACTTGGTGGTCAGGATTTCGTGATCCGAGCAGGCAGGTGCGAAGACGCCCCTAAAAATAGAACAAAAAACCGACGTATCCTGGTGTTAGTTATGTGATTTTCTGCATCCTCTACTCCCATTGGTCCATGCACGAAACCCACCTCACGGTATCCAAGCTCTTGGCAACTGCTTTGCCAAGATTCTGAATGTACGCCAGCTTGTTGTAGGGTCCGCCTGTCAGAAGGAGAGCTCGACTCATTTGAAGCTGCGCCTCGTCGAAGAGGCTCTGGATGATGAAGATGGGAGCTGAAAAGGATTTTTAAAACAAGATGAGACGACTCTTCTGCTTTATACTAATACGGCTACTTAAATCAAATCAGTACAATAATTGTGGTTTTTACACTCTGGTGGGCCGTGGTGAATGGAAGGGATACGGTGCTCACTTTGTATGTACGAGTAGATGACCGGTCCAAGGTAACACTGCCAAAAGTTTTTCTTCCCCTGAGCCACCCTACAGCGTCGCGGTATCCGTGGTTGCCATAGCCTGAGAAACGAAGATACACATTATTTCTCTCAAAATCAACTTGTCTGGAAAAATTGCTTATATTTTTCGATGGAACATGAACTGTGCAGTTTAAAATTATCGGCACGAAGAATTAAGCCAAACCAGGCATATTTTTGATTGACATCATCTATCAGATGCCATAAATCAATCACTTAAAACTAGCCGAGAACAATTCAGGGCTTAAAACGCACACAATTTTAAATCGACCGCTCTCATTCTATTGGCTTAAATCCGCTTTGAAGGTGGCGTTCGTTTAATTTGTTGGTTTAATATTGTATTCAATGCCGTAAACTGATAATTACGCGTCAATAAAGCAAGCACAACCACATAAAACTAGCTGAAAACAATTCAGGGCTTAAAGCGCGCACCATTTTAAATCGACCGCGCTCATTCTATTGGTTTAATATTTTTAAACTTGCCCAATTCCACGCAGAATGCCCTCCTCAGGTGGACAGTCGTAGATGCTTGTGCAGCTGCTCGAAAAGGGTTGGGCGTAGGTGGGGTAGTTGAGGAACCAGGCTGAATCAACGAGTCCACTAATTTGAATGTTGGTTGCGATGCGTCTTGTTAACTGCCACCTGCGGTAGCGGAGACCCCTTCGTATTCGTCGCGCGAGCCGATCGATATTCAGCATCACACCGATGCCACCGGCACTGGAAGGAATGCGTTAACGAAATGATTAAGACGGTAACATGGGCCGCCATCACAATTTCGTGGCCAATGTAAAAAAATCAATAACTTGTTTGTCTGAGCGAACGCGACAATCGATCGATAACACGAAAGAACGCGCCTGGATTTAACAAGAAGCCTGGTTGCCTAGACAGTGACTCCATATTTTTAATGGAATGATTTGTCAGAACGATCGATCAATTTTCAATTTGAAAATGGCACAAATGAATTCCGAATTCACCACTGCCACTTATATTGTTTACATGATTCTAAATGTCATTCAGTGCCCATTAGAAAGCTACTCATTGGTCAGATCTTCCTGCTTCAACTCTTAATCTCATTGGCTGTTTTGCGCTCTGTCTTTGGTGCACACCTCAGACTAGAAGACGTCATGTCTAGCAGAAAACATTTGTTACCAGCCTCGCTGAAAAATTAATATTTGTTTGATTGTTTTAATCGACTTGCCTGGAGCCCACGAAGACAACTTTTTCGGCCTGGGAGAACTCGGGGCGTTGGAGGAGGTCGTCCACGACTGCAGTTAGGATCCGTGAACCGTGGAAATAGTAGCCTGCATGGATTCGATATTAGATATCAACAATTCCAGTTTCACGCAACCACGCAGATGCTTTCTCCAAAAACACGTCTACAGACCTTCAGGTCTCGAACTTAGTCCATGCAAGTACACCGCAATTCCATGCATCCACAACTCATTTAATCGTTTGAAAGAAAATCACTTTCAAAAGTCCTTACCTCCTGTGGGTTCACTCTTCTTTCCTGACCACAAATCGCTGGAGCAGTAGGGAACGAATCTACAGAAACGTCGAGCCTCGCAATTGACGACTTACATGGTGTTGTAGTCGTGGTAGTTTGGGTTTATTCGCTCGTCCCATGACAGCACGCCACCAACTAAAAAAAGAGACTATTACCGCGATGATGACTCACTGTATCGATTTATGTGCCACGTGCGTGATGAGAAGAGAGCGTGATTGGTTATCTGGCGTGAGATGCAGGTGGCCTCATCGAAACAGTACCAACCACCTGAGGATTTGAATAAACGTCAATGTAAACGACTTCGACAAACCTTCTAGATAGATCATCCACTTCCGTGAGTTGGTATTTTTCGAACGCCGAATGTAGTACCTAGAAAACGAAGTTATTACTTCGATTTACAATCAGGAATAAAAATGAAGAACTGCCTAAAATTTATGCAAACAAGTGAAGAAAAAACAGTTTTAATCCTCGTGGCCACCCACTAGTAGGTGATATTTTTGATGAAGGGTCGAGGTGAATTCCAAGATGCATATTCAGATGTCAGCCAGCGGAAGGTGAAGCCTTGTCAGTTTGATGTCGGCTGTCAAAGAGCCGAGGTTTCTCATGTCTCGCTTGCATTTCGAATTTTGCTAGTTGTACGAGGGAGAAAATTTAGGTGAAGATGTGGGAAAATAGTGCTGTATTCAATTAACTCTGAAACGCTCTGCATTCGCTAGTTAATCTACCAATCGGATTCATGTAATTTAGTTATTGATTTTTTTTCAGAATATGAGCTGTGATCGACGGTTGAGTCAAGCACGCACGTAAATGCCCGTCGTGAGGAGTTGATGTATCACTAGTTTTTAAAATGATCTGAAATAAGAAACAAAGCTCAAACTTTTGATTCGAGAAAGTACGAATACTTAAAATGTACTTTGTAGTGCTGCGACGGACAAAATGTTAGTCACCGTCATTAAGGCTGTTCTTTTTATGCTTTCTTGTCGCAGTCAACGCACGACCTGCACGCCGCCACACGCGTTATTTAGAGTCCACTGCACATTTGAGCGCGCGCAACATTTGTCGCTGCGCGCTTTCCTTTTGTTTGATCAGTCGAATTAAAAAGGCGCCAATTTTAACAGGTCGTCTTTCTTTCCCCCGCCCCCCTCTGCCTAGAATGTTTGAACTAATCACAGATCACGTCTCACGGTGACCTTTCACTGGGAAAGGGGGGTGGTCCATGAAAAAGCCTTTTCATGTCCTAATGCTAATTGGTAGAGGTATTCAGGGTTTGACAGACGGTTCAAGTAGGATTTTGGCGCGCGAAAACCGGTTCAAAGCATAGTTTACTTCGTGCCGACATCGGGGAGAAAGCGGGTCGAATTTGCGAAATCGGAAGAGACGTTCTCCACACCATCCAAGTCAACTCACTCTTTTTCACTGTAATTGCTATTCAGCGTTGTGTTCCTCAAATTTCAAGAAGGGGGCTGTGTGCGACACTTTCATAATGCTAGCAGTGACTTTTTGCATGTGGACGCCGGATGTGTCGGTCAGAATTTAGAGTCTAATCTCTAAAGTCGACATTCGTTCAAACTGAAATCGCCATACCGTAAACTTGTAAAACAGCATCAGAATGGATGAGTTTGAGTTTAATTTTTGGCGGTTTAGTCGAGCTGTTCACGTACCTCGAACTCATTTTCGAAAATGACATTTCAAATGCTGCGTTTAACCAGCGTAGAAGGATGAAAATGCATTTTTAGGATATTGGCCTTAATTTAAACATGGGATTTTGGTAACTGTCCAGAAGAAGGCAGCATTTTGATAACTGATTACACGACGAAACACGCATGCGCCAAACACAATTTCGGTGGTTAGGATGGCAAATAAAATCGATTCAGTTGGGGTAGTAAACGGTTGTCGCTTTGACCATCAGTTCCGAATTCTGGCGAACGAGTTGGCATAATTTGGAAGTGAAGTCTGTTGTCGGCGTTGACAACACACACACAGAGTGGGAAAAAACAGCACCTCCTTGAAAGGCTTGTTGGGAGTTGCGACGGTCACCACCTTTGCTTCCTTCCCGTCCCCTTTCGTGGGTTTTTTTCGCTGATCACGAAGGTATTCGCCGACACACCAGGATCCTGACGACAAGGGCGTGTCTCTGTTTGCACTAATCAAAGACCCGCCATGGCATTCCGTCGGGGCGAAGGAGAGAGAGGGAGGGCAAAAAACCGGGCCCATTGCACGCACGTGCGCACGCGTGCACACACACGTACGCACATGTGCGCGTTCTCATGCGGACAGGGCAAATTAAGGCGGCGTGGTTAGCGTTTGACCCCCGATTTGCATATTTAGTGACCTTGTAGTGGATCTGACGGGGATTGACGATCGCCAGATCCCCTAATCTTTACCACCTAATCCCCCGCAGTGTACAGTCGGAAAGTGCACCTATGTAGCTTGTTCCATTTATAAAACAGGCCTCAATTGATCCAGTTTTCTTGCACTAACCACCACATCGATTGAAGAAACCATCTCATTACAACACACACGATAACCACAGGAGTCATTTTTGTTTTAATTAGAGTCCCCGAGACGCGCGCACACCCAAAATACCACTCCCGAAGCATGGTCTCTTTTTAAACCAACAATGTAGCACGACCAGCAATTTGTAAGCCTTCGGCATTCTGCAATTTTAGAGGTTTCTTTTAATGATGTTGATTTAGTCGGCGAAGAAGCGCGGTATCCAAAAAAGGAGAGAGAGGCAAGCGTTGACTGTGGGCCCAAGACAGCCCCGCTTTTAGATATTTTCAAACGGCATTTTAAAAGCATACCTGCGGGCATAACAGGCGGCACTACAAAGAGCAGTATTTTTCTCCGACCGAGTCAAAAAACGCTTCACTTCGATCCGCTGTCTGTTTATAGGCCTCTCGCGTTAGCAAATACAAACGTTGGGGGTTGAATGAAGTAGCCACGTCCGCTGATTTAGTTTCCATGATATTTCGAAGACCTCCACACTGCTAGACGCGCTAGCACCTCGTCCGCCCACACAACCCACCCCACCACCGTATCTTGTTGTCTCAACATTGGAGGTGACCTTTCGCTGACAATAGGATCAACTTGTTGTAATTGGCGGCAATTTGAACGGGTTCGTTGGGGGCTGACAAGATTCATTAAGATTCTTCCGCGATTCCTTCGACCTAATCAACGGTCTGGCTTTCACGCCAATCCCCTATTCTGTTGGTTACTTTTACCCAATTAAAAATAAATGCTTAACGGTTGATATGGCGGCCTGAGGCGACCAATTTAGCGGAGTATTCGCCACACAGATGAGGTCTTTTCAGGGGACCCCAGAACTAACAAGAACGCAAAAGTGTCATCTCTGGAAACTCACCCCGCTCTTGTTCCGTCGTTGCACCGGACGTCAAGTTGGCGGAGAAAGATGAGGTGGAATACCTTGTAATTTCGGAAGTTGCTTGTCGGGGTGTACCAGGAGGGCAGGACGGGGGGCGGTTGGCGGTACCAGAGGTGGGGGTTGACTGTTGAGGAGTTCACCGCGATGCTCATTCGGTGATAGCCTCGCGCTGAGCATACCCGACAGGTCTGAAGTGTGGTGAGTAGAAGGAGATGGAGGGGGAGAAGACGATTCCAACGTTCGATACTTTGCATTTAGAACGCGTTTCCTGCAAAGAGCGAAGTTAAGCCCTATGAATGATTACCGCGAGCCTTCAATGCAGGGTAGACAGGAGAAATTCTGACCTCAACTTTTTTAAAAAAGTGCGTCCTGGAACAAACCACTCAAGTCTGCTTGGCTGTGCTGAATGTGAGAACTTGTGTGAATGACAAGTGGGTGAATTCCGGCCAGTGTGAGTCGGGACTCGAACAAGAACCTCACGCTTTGTCATCAGCGCTTAGATAGAAAATAGGTTACGCAGACTGATTCCGATTTGAGCAATTCGAAGCCTATCAATCACCGTGGTTAAACACACCTGTCCAAAACATGTCAGAGTCGAAAAACCGGGGTTTATTTTAAATTTGCCTTCTAGACATGCCTCTACCAGTCCCCTCCAAACGGCAGACGACTACTAGATTGGAATAGTTGGTCGCCCGCGATTCCCAGACCTATCCCAAAATCAAAAAATGTGAACAAACAAAGGGGAGCGAGGTAAATCCTCACCACGGCCACCTATTCAGCCACCAGACTCCCCTGCTGGCCTTTGAAAACTTGTTATTGTTACATGTGCCAAAGACGACTGAATCGGTCCAGAATTCGAGCCAGGAACTCTTTGATGATGATGACGACGACGACGACGAAGATGGTGAGGCAGAAGTTTGCCGCCACAAGAGGAGCGTGCCAGCCCGCTCGTGTTCTCTCTGCCGGTGTGTGTGTGTGTGTGGGTGTGTGAGGAGTGGGAATTTTCGACCAAGTTGGTGGGATTTTCGGCTCTCTCCGCTGTGTGCGTTTCACCTTGCGGTGCTGGTTTGTTGTCCGGCAACGCGAACGCTGCGGGTGAAACCGCGCTTGGCAGACTACTAACGGTTTTTAGTCGCATTTTTACGAAAAAAATACCTAAATCTCCTCTCTTTATTGGGTGTGCCTGAAGTCAAGGGAATCACTAGCCATCCCATGTGTTCAAAGGAAACACACAGCAGACGGCGAGTGTTAAACTCCTGTCAACTTAGTCTACTGACATTTTGACTTCTATTTCAGATCTTAAAACGACATCAACATTGGTAAGAAGTGAGCGGATTGTTGTTAATGTGATGCAGGATTGTGAACATTATGAAGTCACCTTTTTGTGACACGATAAGAAACGATGAAATTGGCAAGTTGACAAGGAATTTGGGCTTATAACTTGGTGCTGGCAACGCGGGAGTAGGTGCTCGTGTCTGCACCCGCCTAAGCAGTTATCGTGCCCGCGGAAGATTCTCTGACGGCATTGCCAACACCGCCTGATGCCTACGAACAAACCCTACTGTCAGTGGGTCATAGTATTTTGTCTGTTTGAATGAATTCGCAAGTGTGATGGCGAGAGATCGGGGTGAGATAAGGAGCCAGAACTTTTAGTTTGCCAGATTTTTGAGAGAAATCTGCCCCCATTTTGCCGAGTTCACATGTCTTCTCTGTCGGACAATAATGCGCTTTAATTGAAGTATGCTTACGTTTCTTACCACGCACTGTGGATCAGACGCAATTTGTTCTACATTCAAATACAAATCAACTAGTTTGATTCTAAACGCCTTGACTGAGTTTGATACCGGACAGATATCTGAGTGTTCAACACAACGATAACATCTGATGTTATCGAATTGACATCTTTAGTTATTAGTTAATGCACAAACCAGCTACCGCGTCTCGATTGTTTGAGCAATATCGGAATGCCCCTCATCTGATTGGTTATTCCTTCGGTTTACTTCAATCGATATTAACTAGTAGATCAAATCGTGATTAGTGGGATTTGTATAAATGTAAAAAAATGGATTTAATAAAAGTCTGCTTTGTCAAAGGTGGGAAGACTTGACCTAGACAGAGCGGGACTTACTTGGGAATTAAGTAAATATCCAGTAAGGAATGCAGGAGGTGAGTTGTCTGATTGGGACGTGTGCTATCTCATTACCCTGTCCACCGAAAAGGATGATAGCAGTCTACTCGCCTGTTACTTATATATACATTCATACACGCACTCACGCACGCACGCACTCCCACTGGCCCGGCATGCATGTGCGTGGACGCTGGAAAAAGGGAGTGCGTGCCTGCACGCAAGCACGCAGACTGCACCAATTTTCCCTTCACGCACGTACGCACACACGCACGCACGCACCACAGATTTGATCTTCGTCTTCCAACCTGTCAGTCAACCACGTCTGCTCTGCGTACGCGATTCACCCCCCCACCACCACCATCACCCCCTTCCCCCCCCTCCACCGCCAGCATGACGGCATCGTGCCAGTTGCGTAATGCAAACGTCGGCGACTCGACAGACTGTCAGCGTTAAAGGTTAAACTCCCTGACGCCAGGCCCAAACAGCAGCGAGCTGGTGGTTGGTTGCGCCTTTGTCCTAGCCTCAAACTCGACTTCTTGGCGATTCTCTTCGTCGAAGACAATCCCTGAAGCCACGATGAAATGACAACGCTAGGAGCTAGGCACAATGGTTCCATGTTGGATGGAAATGTTGGCCAGAAGATTAAGGGGAATGTTGACGAGGGGTTGGGTTCCATAATCTTCTGCATATAGTGCCACATTACTAGACCTCATTTGGAAAATGCGTTTTTTTTTCACACAAACTACTACTTCCTGCTCTGGTCTTGAAGTGAAGCTAACCGAACCCTCACGGTACATCGACATTTCCTTAGATGTATCCGACATCGACATGACTCCAAGTATTCCCAAAGTCAAGCAAAGGTCACTGGTATCGAAGTTTTGACGAGATATTGATATCACCCTATCATCGCCTTGATTCAGTACATGGCCCATCGTGGCAGCTACGTAATACGAACGTCCAGTAAGCTAGCTGTTAGTTGCGCCCTCAAAGTAGGGTGTCTTGGGAATTCTCTTCGTCGTTAAGATCCTTGAACTCCATGAGCGCAGAAGGTGGGATGAAATGAGAACGCTAGGATGTCGAGATTTCCGTCTATTCGTCGACAAGGCCTCTTCCATGTGCCAGAACTTTTGCAAATTTACCGTGTTCGTGGCCAGGTGTCAAAAGGGTACAAAAATTGTCAAATATGTGTGGAAGAAAAGCCAACTCTAACCCAAAAATGCCGAATAACTGGGACGCGCCATCAGCATGGTCAAGGAACATGAGATTTGAATGATATTGTCCGGTTTTGTATGCACGATTGGTTCGGAGAATGAATATCCACCTTTTTTTAAGTGTTATATTCTCTTGGCATAAAAGACCTCAGCCGTTTGGACAGGGTGACACACAGCCTCCCAGGGTTCTTATCTGGGAAGACATTTTGGAGGACATTATAGGTACAATCTTGCAGCGGATTAACAGCGATCGAGGCGGATTGAACCCCGTTTACTGACCTGATGGTGACAATGACTCATCCCCTTTTCATTGGTTACTTCTCTCAGACGCCTGTCATCCGTTCACTCATCCACATACCGTAATAAACGGTCGTGTCCTCTGTCGTCTCTCTTCATTCCATTCTCGGGTTATTACGGGCTGTTAACTAGGGGGTTGTATGGTAGTGTTAGACCACAAGCCACTCCAATCTGGTGATTTTGACGGTTAAAATCCATCTGCCAGCGTCCCATCGTCTTTCTTTTATTAACCTTATTCCTGTAAATGGTACTTGGTAGCCATCCGCACCACTACAGCTCCTGTGTTGCTTGAACAAACGTACCACCTAAGTCGCACTCAAGTGAAAGCAAAAAATCGATTTACTTGACCAATGAGTGTTTCTTTCGTTCCCTTTGTGTACATACACCAGCGTGTTCAATGCGTAAAACTTGTAAACCGTTTGCTCATTGGGCCACTTTTAGTTTTTTAGTGAGGGTGTGAAAATTAACTCTAGAAAACCGATTGCTTCCCATATACGCGATACTCTTTACTGAAGAAATAGCCTTTTCCTGGTTGCAAATTTTCTACTGCCGGTGTTTAATCAAAACTCAACTTGCTGGCCTCAAAAAACCGCGTATAAACCGTGTTTGGTGTAGTGTGAAAGGCGCAGAGTAAATCACAAGAGCGGTGTTTGGACAGGTGTTGCCGTCGGATTTGTGAAGTGACGAAAAGCAAACGATCACTCCGGGTAGCGGCGCGCTGACACCTTGTCAAACTGGCAGACTGTCATCGGGGGCTAGACATCCCGCCGCCCTGGAGACTGAAATCATCATCATCATCATTTGAACGTGATTTGGCTCAAATGTTGGATGGCATGGTAACAAATCTCATTGGCTGCAAGACCAGTGGCTGAAAAATAATTCGGCTTGATGAAGCTGCTTTTGTTTGTCGCAGTCACGTCAAGAACACGGCGCCTCCTAAAGAATATGTGGTGAATCGTGTTGATTCACGTCCAAAAACCCCGTGATCGCAGTTTCCAACACACGTTCCACCTTTTCACGTCAGTTACGTGAGGCTGCTGGTTCATTAACCCCCCTGCATGTACCACCACCACCAGCTTCAGTCATGTAACGCCACAGACGCCTGTGTTTTTTTCTACATGTCTACTCAACTGTATCAGTAGACTCACGCACAAATTTGTTGAGCTATCTAGTAAACGGTCGTGCTTGCCATCTCTGAACTTATTTCCTTCCTGGGTTACTTAGCGTAGTAAAGAGCCTCAACAAACCTTTTCTAAGTGTTGTCAAACGTTGAGACCATACACTTGCTCCACTCAATTCCTAAAGGTGACTATGAGCGTCGTGGCTCTGCAGTCTCCTTCTTGCTCACCTAGTCCTCCACTTCTGGACGTTAGTCTAACTGGAATACCTTGAAGACCATGGAATCGAGAAGCAATGTCAACGAAGACCTGTGTCGACTTGCGCGAGATCAGAGCTCCATCGCACTGGAGCCTGATGTGTTGACGAAGTTCTATTGCTGCCCTTAGCCACAATTCTACCAACCGAACTTTGTCGATAAACGAACTGGTCAGGGGCACACTTTTGAGTGAATTTTCAGAAATTGGTCAGCAAGAATGAAGGTTCGTATGTGATTTCGCTTTGTGGTAGATGAAATCGTGGAAGCTCAATCTAGAAGTGAGCGTTCAGTCCCTCCTTATGCTGCGGAATCATTAAAATTCGTGAATTTTAAACGGGGTGTGTCGTTTCTCGTGCTGGTTTTTGTGTCGACACAATGACACGATGCCAGCGACGAAAGCGTTGCGACCGATTCATCCACTTTCGGTGTATTGGTAGCTCATTCCTCGTCGAGGAACCGAGAAAAATTTGCTCTATGCGACTTTTAATTTCATTTCCTTTGGATATTGACGCTTCCTTACGCTAATTGTAGCTGCATCCTTATTTTCACGCAAATCACTGCGACATTTCACGGGTTTGTCAAGAGTACTTGTGCGCGTTCTTAATGGGTCTGTATTACCATAATTAAAAAAACACCAATTCATTTTTTCCAAGGATGCTTAGTAGGTTTTTAGATCATATAGATAGTACGGTTGACCTTGGACGTTCGAACACCACGAACTCCGACATACGGGGCAAAAATTGTCGATCGATCAGTGGCATCCAACCTAGTCGCCTTATCATTTCGGCATGCTCTTGGAAATCATTGATTAATTGGGCCGCAGAATTGCTTTGCTAGCTGGTACAATCTGAATTCAGTTCAGCCTCAAATGCATCGATCCGCTTCAGCATAATCTCGTTCATCGATTTTTGATGGGCACCTAATTTTGGACATCACCCAATCAAAGCTAAAACACGTCACAAAAATAGCCTCGAACTTCTCCCCCTTAAAACCTAATTGGACAGGTAAATTATTCAAATCTGGGCCGAATCTACGTGGAATACGTACTTATTTTTTGTGCTTTGCATTTCCACTTACGTCAATCTCCTTATCTTGCGTTGGATCTAGCCCCGACGTCAATCTCACCGCATCGGGGGTGTGGGAAGGGAAGGCGACCTGCCGGTGGTAATAAGACGAATCCGTCTGCAGACGTCACTCAAGAACTTGCCCTCTGTGTCTACGCGTTCATCAGTTCGGGCCCACACGTGGCCGCTTCAGTGCCTTACCGGACACCACATCCTGTCCATGGAGTGAACAATTTGATGATGTGTGCTGAATTTCTTTCGGACAAATGCCTCAAAACGTAGCAAAGATGTCTAACGTTTATTTATTTGATAACGAATAGAATTGTGTGTCTAAATACTTGTTTTAATCAAGTAATCTCGTGTTAGGTGTCATTTTACCTCCAGAGACTTCAAATTGGCCATTTTTCAGGCTAACTTGACGGCTCTTAAGGCCAAGGCAGTGATGTAGAACAATATTTCATGAGAATGTAGCATCAACTGTTCTGGATTTGGTTTTGTTGTACTCCTGAAAATTATCTTTGAGTGTACTGCGACCTGAACTACTTGGGAAATTCGACTAAAACTGACTTCAGACGTCAACAATGTGGTGAAGGCCTGAACACAGAGAGGAGCAATTCACTGATTGAGCCCGTCTACTCAAGGCGCACTAACGACAAGTTGAACCCTGCCTGTTTCCAAGTCTGAATTTGTTCTTATCTGCAAATTCGGTTCAATTGGAGCAAGCATTGCTCAGCCAGACTGGCAGTCTACCGCTCCTAATGTCACCCCGAAACACGTGCAAACTCGACACCTACATTCCTGCCTCTGGCGTTGTCTCGATTCAAGGGGGTGCTGATTTGCGTTCATCACAACCTGATCCTGCTGCAAGCTCTTGTTGATTCGAAATCGCACCACAACCACAACGCCGTCAACGCCCACTTTCTGAAACACACCAGAACCGACAGCTGATGGATTCAAACAACCTCGGACGCACTTTCGACCAACGCCACACCCCTCAATGAGTTGGCTGCCTCAGAACGCACTCACATCAACCACACAGACCCCACATCCTCCGTGTGATCACGAGCGAACCCCACGAACACTGTCTGGGTAGCGGACCCTTCCCAAAATCCACACGCCACAAACTCTCGCATTACGTGGTTCGCAAACCGCCGTGACCACGGTCTCCCGCAAAGCAAGTGCAACAACAACGGCAGTAGCGGTAGCAGCAGCAGCAGCAGTAAAACACACTTGATGGCATCCTTATTCACGCAAGGTGTCTGGCTCACGCAGTGAAAAGAAGATGGGAGAATGCGCGACAATTCGTAATTGCATGTGTGTGTGGGTGTGTTGCTGTTGTTGTGTTACTTCGGGAAATAAGACAAGAGAGCGCAATATGGAGGTAGGGGAGGAATAGGAAGAGCGCAGGAGATCGTTGTCAACATTTCCATTGTCGTCGTCACCGTCGTCGTCGGCATCATCATCAATATTATTATCAAGAGGGGACTTGATCGACTTGCATAAATAGTCCAGATGCAAATGAGGGGGATTTGGGGTGAGGATGGGGAGGAAGAGGAGGGGGAGGAGGAGAGCGAGGGGCGAAAGAAAGGCAGCACTGGCCGATTAGCTGAGTGGGTTCGTGCAGTCAGAAACGAACATGCAGTGGGATTGTCGGTCGGGGAGGTGTGGCAGGAGGAGGAGGATGAGCGAGCGAGCAAGTGCATTAGAAGAAGGGGTTGAGGCTTTGCTGGGACGCAGGTGGCTGATGAGCACCAGAGGAAGAGGAAGAGGAAGCGACGGTTGCCGGGAAGGGATTGGGACCGGAAGTCGTGATGGGGCGTTGGGGGTAGGAGAAGGCCGAGGAACCCCTTCCACTGCCCAACAGAGCCAAGGGCGCACCACCGCCGCCACCGGTGGTGGTGGCGTTGTTGAAGGAGGCGCTCAACTGGTTCAGCGAGGGCTTGGGGGAAACATTCACGCTGAAGGGGTTCGTCGGGTGGCCGGCTGCGGTGCGGCTGTGACCGGTCGCAAACGGGTTGGTCGAGGCTGTGGAATGCACGTGATAGAGAGGCGACGGTCAGCGCGTGTCACAGAAATGGTGGTGGCGGTGGTGGTGGTGGTGGTGAGGTGGATATTATCAATCGGCGCCACATATTCGACTTACCAGGACTTCGGTCAACGAGTTTCTCCAAGTCGACGAGGTCTTTGTGGTCGCCCAAGAAGTCTGAAGGTGTTCGTTTCCGTGCCGTCGCTGGCTTGTTTGAGTCGGCTAACGAGGCAGCTGGGATGGCGGCAGTGGCTGTGGCCGTGGAAGCGCAAGCAAGCTGTGAGTTTCCATTCTGGTTGATGGACGAGGAGGCGTCGAGGGGGTCGAGGGCAGCCCAGGGATTGTTGTTGGCCACCGGCACTGTGTGGCTTTGCTGGAGCTGCAGCGCCTCTATAAGAAGAGATTCAACAAAATACAACCCTCTGAGACGTTGACTGATGACTTTGGACGACTTAAGAGGCCTCCGAGGACGTTCATCTTAAAACCAGAGGAAATATATGCGCCGTATCATTTTGCTTTGGATCAAACACTTTGTCCGGACACTCCAAAACAGACCGTACACAATCGGTACTTGCAAATCAGCAAAGAAGGAACACTCAAGATCGCTGGAATTCAGCATAGATATGGGCAACCAGGATGGCAGCATGCAAATTTTGAGCCTACCCTTGGGTGTCCATGGGGTATCGGGAAGACACAGCTGATTGGTCATCGGAGCGTTCGAGGGGGCGTCGAAAGGCGAGGTGAAACGCCCGGGGTTGTGGTTGTTCTGGGGGGGAGGGGAAGCGACTGGGACGGGCACGATGCTAGACCAGGGATCGGGCACGTTGGCTGGAGCAGCGGACAACGAGGTGTCGATGAGATTGAAGAGACCGCCGCCAGTGCCACCGCCAGTCGAGTTTGTCTCGGAGATGAGGGAAGCCGCCGCGGAACGGTTCTAGAGCAAAAGGTCAGTCTGGCCAAGGTCACGACGAATTGACCACGCGATGTGCAGAGCCTACTTTCCACAACCACTCGCGAGACAACACGATAGCATTCTACCCCCCGCCAGGTGCCAAACCGACAATTGGAGGCTGACCTCATTTGTTGATTCCTGACACTATCGTGTCCGAGGGTGAGAACAATAATTGTGGCCGTTAATGTTAACAGATCACGTCCACCTAGAACAGCGCACACGAAGCTTACAAGCCAACCATTGACAGCACTGATGTTTTGAGCTGTATCTAGATTTTGCTATTTACAGCTGAAATCGTTTATGCGATTGCAGGGTATCACTCATAACCCGATTATCGATTTCTGTGGCTTCTACTTCATCCCCATTTGGCCAGATCACATGCAAACATTCTCCGTGATTCTTGTTTGCAATCACTTGGCAAGAGGGCGATTTCGATTGTGCACACACAACGAACGCATTGTGCCGAATATCCGTTTACAATTTTTTTTAAAAAAAAAACACATTTAACCCTATCGAGTGATGCCTGCTTGTCGTGTGTGATGCAGTCTCTCGCGCAGGTGTACGGCCACGAACTGGTCGAATTATGGTTGTAACTAGGTCAACACCAAGGTCACTAGGTCGAACCAGAATAACGTTAGTCAGCTTTGATCGGAAGATCGCCAAACAGATACCACAACGTGAAAAATGCCACACAAGATTTACAAAAGTGTTGTTCTCTATATCCCTGACAAACGCATTCTTTCGACTCAAACGTAGCGCTATTTTTGCAAAGCGAAATTACTTCCTTAGCAATCGACGGGTGGTTAGGTCTGCCTGACGGTTGTGTTGAGTACTCAGCAAATTAATGAAGCCCCATGCCGGTAGACGACGACAAGGGACCGCCATCAGCAGCCAATGGGAGCACGGTGGTGGTGGAACTGGATGGTGTAGCGCACCTCAGTGCTGCGTTGACCGAATTGTGCGTGCGTGTGTGTGTGTGTGTGGTAGTGTTCCGATAGCTGGACAAACAGCTTGCAGGTTCTACGTGAACACACAACACCGCTGTTAAGCGATAGCGAGAGACGCTCCACGCAAGATTATTACTATTATTAGTCATCCACGCGTGTGAGTCAGGTGTGCGTGCGTGTGACCAGACGCGAACAGTGGCAGGATTCATTGTGAACGCACGTTGCGTGGAACAGCACCGATCATACCTAAGCCGAACACACCACAGCGAATCTGAAACCAGGTGTAAACAAACCTGATCGTGTTATGTAGAAGTGCGCGTGTTGGTGGTGGCGGCGGCGGTGGTAATTTGTGCTATAACGGCGGGCGTCAACTTCCACAGTCAAAACTTATGAGGTGAGAATGCCCCTTAACCCAAAGGAGGTAACAAGTTGGCACCAGATAGAGGAACAGGGTCTGATGGACAGGAAACGCTGCGGCGAATCGTGCGCTAACTCACATCCATCAGTTCTGTCCAGATATCACAACACGACAACGGATTTGGGTCATCTGACAAACGTTTGTCACTGTCGCCATGGTGAGGTGATAGATCTACAACCGGTGACCTGACTCAACCCGGTTAACAACACAAGCCTGAACGTCAGCCGGTGCCTGCAAGACATGAAACTGTAGTGTCGATGGAAACGAACTGGCGACACCGTGCACGAACAGACACACAACCCCCACAACTAACCTGTTCCTCGCGTTTGCTCTGCTCAAGGACCATCTGCAACTTGAGGGCTTCCTTGGCCTCCTCCTCGTGGCGTTTTTGCAGCTCGCGTTCGTGTTCCTCTTTGCTGATCGCCAGCGCCAACTGCAGCTGCAGCTGCTCCTCGGTGTAGGATTGCGGCTGCGCCGAGTCCAAGTCGCTGTTGACGCCTACAGAGGGTGTCAGAGAGGGTAAAGTTGGTCTAGAAGAACGCGAGACCCGCGCGCACACGCCTGGTCTAGCGCGGCAAGTACACGCATTCACACACACACACACATACACTCATGTCGTTACAACAAGAGCCAAGTAAACACACGGTAGATAAACAAGCAGCCGCGTGTGCACTGATTCGTGCCGGCTGGCGAGAACAGCCTGACACGTCCGATCTGACGCCCTCACACGACGGAGGAGGCGTCGAACGAGCGCCAAAAGTGAGTGGGCACTACTACCACAATCCACAAAATCGCCGTCTCTATAAACAGTGGGCCGTTTGGATAGAATAGAAGCGTAGTATTCTCAATCGAAGTAGGTTTAAAAGTGCATAGAAAGCTACCCAACCAAAAGCCGATCTGAAGACCGCTCGCACAACGTCGTAATAACTTCGCTCTAACTAATCACCTCACTAAGTAATCAGCTTGACTGGGCTTTTCAGGCCTTAGAAGCGCAGACCAGCAGCTCAAAACGCTCCAACACTAATCGAGTAATTGCAAGACAGCCCGCGAATCGGCCTGATTGGCGGCAAGACGGTAATTTCCACCATTCTAGATGCAGGCCGGGTAGAAGTTGCTCAACATTAGCAGCTTACTCATCATGTGGTATTGCGCGCCTACCAGAAGGATTAGTTAATGCATGATTTGTTTTTGCCAGGCTTAAACAAATGGCCTGGACATTAGAGTTGATCCGGATCAGAAGCGATTGCCATGAAGATGATATCTGGGTTCCGTGTGCTTTAACCAAAAGCACTACCTAACACCACAGCAAATAGGCATTTGTGAATAATCATCACTGGTTATGAATAAAAAAGGCGTCAGCTAGTCGATGTCTGACTCAAGTTGTACAGAGTTTTTTCTTGATCTTAAAATTGCGTTTAAATAGAGGTGAATTCGCGGTCTTTTGGGATTTTGAAAGGCTCGGACGCTAGGTTTCAGAGCACCGAACGACAAACCTAGGTGAGATACACGCTCTCTCAGAATAGTCGAATTTACAATGGCAACTGATAAGCAGCACATTGGACGGCACTGCACTTTGTACGGACTCTAACAAGGCAAAAAAAGGCTTCTAAAACACGGAAATCAACTTGTGGTGGCAAAAATGTGTCCTATACAAGCGTTTTAGAAGTTTGACGATGCGGGATTGCAAGCTCTAGTGGATGAAGATTCAGTGCAAACGCAACAATAGCTTGCAGCTTAGTTTGGAGTCACCCAAATACCTAGTTCCAGGCCTTTGCACTATTAAATGGGAAAAATTCAAAAACTTGGAAGTTGGGTCAACAAATATGGACTTCCTGTGGAAAATTGAGATGGGTCATAAAAGTGCCTTTTTTTGCAGGAATCCCAAACGTAAAAAGTCATGGCTGGATCCCGGGCAACCTAGTACATCGACACCAAAATAAGACAGCCCCGCTTGACGAGATCCGCACGTTTTCCAAGAGACGGCGTACGGTCATAGACAACAACAGACAATATCTCCGCGATTAAGTTCAGCGTTCTCGACTTTTTTTTCATACTGCGGATAAATTGGTAAATATTAAGTCAAACAGATAATACGAGGACACTGGACGAAGACGATCGTGGCGAAACCGAGCCAAATGATTGCGTCATTATGCAAATCAAAGGCGTGCGTTCCTCAGGGCCAATTAGATGTGAACACACCAATAGCTGACGCGAGGCGTGCCAAAGAAGAGTAACCATGGGGCAAGTTTAGTGAAAAAAATTTTAAAAACCGTAATAACAAAAGTGCGGCGGTGGTTTTTGATGCATTTTGTGAGAGAGAGAGAGACATTGACACGGCAAGGGTAACAAGAAAGCATGCCTACCACCAGAAAGCGAGGGTTGGGAGGAGGGTCGCCTGTTGTCGCCCACTGAGGACGCGGACCTGGCGAAGAGGCTAGAGGGGGGGGAGTAGGCGGACCCGCTCGGGTGCGAGGTGGTGCCCAGAGCCCCGCCGTGCATGAGACGCTCCCTCGCGAGCAGGGCCTTGGCGCGCTCCTCCTGCAGACGCTCCTCGTCTCGTAGCAGCGCGTTCAGCGAGCGTGCCTTCTCGCGGACGCTGTTGCCGACGTCCTTTCCGTCCTCCACGTAGTAAAAGTCCTGGCGTGGGGCACAAGAGGCAACAACACATCACACATCACTCAACGTCTCGCGTTCCCGCCATTAGTTTAAGCTTACACGTGGTGAATAATTCCGCCAATTTCAAAAACACCTTTCGCTGAGAAAACCTGTGAACATTTGGAGGGCTTCCCTCCCACAAAGCCCGGTTTCCCGAGGTTGCCAGCGTCTGTAGTCAAGTGACAGTTGAGTAGAGTAGGACACCCAACATCGACCATGTGATGATCAAATAACCCAAATGATTTCCACCTGGACGACATAAGTCGGTCAAGTCGAACTGAGCACTAGACCTCCAAATTTACTAGAGTCAACATAGAGATCAGTTGACCGCAAAAGATAAATGGGGTCTTTCAAATACAATTTAGGCCACACGCTCCAGTTCGTCTTTGAAACACACTTAACAGGGCTGTCCGACGGAGCGCTAGGGACAACCAGACGCAGGACCAACATTCTGATGTTGAAGTGACGCTGTTACTGCCTGGAATGGCCATATTGGCGTTAAGAGCAACTACAGACGCATTTAATCGGGTCTGGGCCATAAAAGTCCGAAACCAGTAGGCAACTCGGGTAACCTAGGTAAAGCATTTCGGGAATGTTGCTTCTGCGCCATCGAAAAAGACATACAGCAGCATGTAGCTACCAAGAAATCATGATTTCCACGAAAAAAACTACCTGGTTATCATTTACGCCAAAACCCCGACTCAAGCTCAAGCTAGAAAACGCTTTCCTCCTGACCAATGGGGTAGTGACGTTGAGTTAAATTTAGTACGGCCAATTTACAGGTACGAGAACATTGACCCAAACTAAGAGAAATGGCACGGCTGGTGCAAGTGAGTCAGAATCCATCCTAAAGACAAGGAATCCAGACTCTTTCCACGTTCTATTCATCCACTACTTACGGTAGGGCGCGTGATTTAGATTGATATTCTCGAACACTCGCGCCACAAAAATTTACATTCCATCAACTTATAAGTCCACTGGAACACCAACTAATGTGAAGGCACACCAAAAGAATCGCCAAATGCTAATGACAGAAAACATGGTGCCAATCATTATGATTCTACAGGCACAATGTTAACTAACAGAGACCAATCTTCGCATCTTCAAAACGCAAATAATTTAATTAAAATCAAGGTAAAGCTATTGGACTATTATCTCAATTGCTGTCAACACTCCAAAACAAACGTCTATTGATCAAGTTGAACAATAAACTGGCAAATGCAAATGAGCTTTTTGTGATCGCATTAACAGGTACACCTAGAAAAACATGAAAAATGGTATTAAATAAGGTTAATCAGTGCGCGAAAAATAAAGCCGGTGAAAGTGCATCGGTAATGAGCTTTATCAAGGCGCTTCGACGCATAATACAATGGTTCTGCTTTGACTAATAAAACCAAAAAAAGGATGAACAGACTGAGAAGCAAGACAATTATGTAGGAGTTTGAGTGGAAGGTCTGAGTATAGGCACCAAATAAACGACCCACCGAGGCATACAAAATTTGCTGCAAAAAAGGCGAAACTTAAAGTCGAATAAACTAGACAACATGACACAACGCATGTTCAATAAGGGTTGGACAAACGCTTTTTCAAGGTGCTGAAGCAGTCTTTTCTGCATTTAAGAAAAATTAGGTCCACAGATGCCAACCACATTTCTTAAGAAAATTGTACAAAACAAAGCCGTGTAGGAACTTAGTGAGAAAGCACGGAATCTTACCATAAGAGTCTCAATAGCATGGATGTTTTCTCTGCATTGAACGGCAACTTTCTCACTTCCTGTTTTAATTATATATTCCAAAAGTATAAGAGCTTTGTACACATGTCTCCAGTTCTTGCTTTTATCGTTAAGCCTCCTCCAAATCATTTGCATTATTTCAGTGAAGGCAATAACATTGTATGTTCTATCTGCGATTTGGGACATAAGGGTACTACTCGGACCCCATGGATCATTTGAAGTGGCCTCACGAACTTTCCGCTCTGCTTCTGTGTAATTACGAACGACATTTTTGATGTGACGCTGAAGGGGCATCATCTTGAAAGTCAGAAACACAAATATTCAGATAGCTTTTGCAGAAAAATTCGACAACCGTCTACAGCAGCTATCTGCCAAAAACGGAAATGGCGGGCACAATGTCCAACATTTCATTGGTTCATTCTTATTATTTAGCTTGCAACATCAAGAATTAAAAGCATAAATTTGCGGCTTTGTTATATATAATTAGCATTACTAAAGTTTTCATCTATATTCTAGTATTCAGGTCTTGTGAATAAGGATCTGATCCCAATAAACACTAGACGTCTAGGAAACAAGTTTTTTGATTTTACACAATTTTCAGCAAATTAATGCAGAAATCTTAGGTTCTAATCCCGGATCACAGCACATAACGTGATATAAATTTAAGATGCTGGAAAACCTCTCAGGTTGCCTATTTCTATTACACGTTATTAAGGGGCATCTTTGATCAATTATTGGATCTAGCCACTAACGACTAAGCTCTAAACGCCCATCAATTCCCGCACTTCTGTCAAAGCACTATAAACAGAGAACTCCAACTATTCTTATCTGGTTTAAAGGATTTTTAGGTTCGTATTTATACTTAAAACACAGTCAACCTCATGGAAATACGGTAAGTGCCCATGTTGCAAAAAATGTAGACGAATCCTCACGATCCCGATTTAGAATAACACTTAAAAAAGGAACAACCTTCCCTGAATTATCACAACATATGCAGCTCATATATCAAGCAGTGCCAAAACATACCTGAGATAAATTGGGAAAAATGAACTGAAATTTAATTTAATTTGCTTTTGTGACCGGGATTTATCTTGATAGACGCATTTTGCAATATTTATTCATAAATGAAATTAACCTTGCACAGATTAAACTTTTTTCGTAATTCGTAAAACTAATTCGATTGTTATTTTAGATTAAAAAATTTCCGAAATACTTTTAAATGACTTTACGGTAAAATCATCTTATATAAAAATACAAAACAAGATTTTTTTCACGACAAATAAGTTGATACCTCTGATGCATGAATAGAATTTGGTGTTGAAAGGCAGATAAGAAACTTGAGGATGGGAATTGTGGCCAACATTTTGATGTCAATAACTCTGCACTAAAATGACAGCTGGCATCGAACCTATTTCCGAGCTAACTATGAACATTGAACAGTGAGCATTGTAATCAGGAATCATTTCAATATTAGAAATTACCTTAATTTATGCCATTTATGGGTTAAGACAATACCAATTTTAAAATTTTAGATGTGAATAACCAGCCCCTTTTTTAACGTCGTTTTAGTTATTTCCGTTATTTCAAGGTCTGCTGTATCATTAGCAAAATTCTGGAAACCCTTAGAAAATAAGATGCTGTGAATAATCATGGACTGTATTGCGCAGGTATGCCCTGATTTATATTGCCCGCGAATGCTCAGACACCATTATTGATGCTAAATGTTATATCCAGCAGCGTTGGAATTTATAACTTGCCACAACAATGAATATTGGGAAGAATAAACATTCGAAACCGTCGGTGTTGGTTAAACATTTGTGGCCAACGTCAAGACATGCTTCGTGTATCCAGATACTACCAAGGTTACTCCTATTTGTCTGCCAGAAAAATTTGCCTATTTCCAATGACAATTTTCGCTGTTCTAGCTATAACTGAGATCGTGTGCACTGCTTTAGCTCTAAAAATCTCTCAGATCAGATTCCTCGGTTAGCTGCGATTGTTTCTTGGATGAGATACTCTCTTACTGGCAACTCCTTTTTATACTTTATCAATGCAAAGCTGTCAATGAGATCGACTATACTGAGCTAACTCCTCTGGATTTGCAGAACTGCTGAAAAAGTCTTGCATCTTTCTGTAACTCTAAAAGATTCACCATAGCACATAATCTGAGAGCACCAATTTGTTTGAATACACTCTAATTCACTAGTTGTAGAGGTAACCTCGCGATACAGTTCACAACCAGGACGAATTAGCTCAACTGTCGCGGCAGCATGATCTTACTTTTGGAGTCCAAGTTTAACTGCAAACAATATAATGTTCCTGCGCTCCTTCACCTCCTCATCCTTTTCTACCAAATGCCTGTCCCTTTGGCTCCAGGCTGTAATACGTCACCACTTTGCTTGAACCAACCACGAATGTCGTTTGAAATTGCAAATTTTAATCCTAGTTTGCGCTACACTCATTGATAGTGGCTAGCGTTGCTTAGGCATTTAATTGAAGCTAAGCGAAACATGAGACTCGACCATCTGAGTGTCACGACGAATTATTCAATGGAATACTCCGACGTGAATAGTGTGTGGGTGTGAGACAATAAGTGAAAGATAAACGCATTCTGGTTGTTTAAGCCAGTAGAGTCAAATTGCCTCCCCGATAACAGTCATACATAGAAATAGTCGAAAGGTTTTCGCTACGTTCCTCGTTTGTGTCGGAAAAAAAGTAAACAATGTCAAATGTTTTCGTCATCGTTTCGGTAATCACTTGAAGAGCACGTATTGAATGACATAAGAAAAAGGATTCTGTTTCAAATCACCACTGCGTCAGTTATTAAAAACGGCGGTTTTCACGAATCACCCAAAATGGGAGAAATGACTCATCTCTGGTAATTCTTTATGCTCAGAATCCTAAGCGGATAGCGGGGACTTACGAAAAACAAATGTGTCTTGAACGGACACATAAATTTTATCATTCGGAAGTTTGCACACCCACGAGTCCACCAATTTTCTATTGGTTGACAGTCCCCACCAATCATATTTCTCCTGTAAATGACTGAGTGTACAAAACGTCGAGAGTCCCCGTTATCGTGCAACACTCGCCATAAGCTGTCAGTATTGACCGAAAAATAATTAAGACAAGATTTTCAAGCCAGTTCACAATCTATCTCAGCCGGCCAACTTTGACGCTTCCTCAGCTAGCTTTAAGTTGTCTTCTTAATTTGATGACACGTTGAGGAGGCGGTACCACCCACTTTTAATGAATAGAGTTTGTACTTGAGGCTATGGTGCACACCACGTCGGATAGACCGCGCACTCGCCTTATTGGCCCAGCCCAACAGCCAATGCTTTCCTCCCTTCTGCGCGTTTCGCACTCCTGCGATTTCCTAATTTCCTCCACCAAATACCCACGTACAGACCCACGAAAATAACGTGACATGTTTGACTTTCTCAAGTCATTTAAATACACAAAGGAAGAAGACTAGCAATAAGTATGTACACATGAAAGACACAGCGAAATCACACTTGGTTTCAAGGAGAATTACGCGGTGGCAGGACCTGAATGCCGAGCTTCTGCAGACCCTAAATAAAATAAACAAACTTGTTCAATTCACTCACTCACAGCGAATCACCAAATCAGCGATTTCGGTGGTGGTGGTGGTGGTGGTGGTGGTGGTGGTGGTGGTGGTGGTGGTGGTGGTGGTGGTGGTGGTGGT